ACCAACACTCAAGGTCTTAAAATAAAAATAAGGAGAATATGCTACCTTTCTATAACATCAAGAAATGGTTAGATATTCTAGTCCTCTCGGATAGGGACGAATAAATGGAGGTCCCGTCTCTTGCAGATGTTAATTTCCCACGCACGAGATTACTATGTGATGGATGTCCTCCCCTTGGGTGGGATGGGTGGGTTGTTGTCTTGCGTTTCATACATGAGCTTCTGGGTAACCATGGGTAACCATCCCCCACGTAAAGACATTAAAGTTTGATTACTACTACTATTACGTTAGGTAAACCTTCTTGGTAAACAGTCATTCATAGCGATCAACGATTTACCCAAGGAGCTCCAAGGGGATAAACAAATCCATGCCTTCTTAATGTTTTTCGAAGAGAAAGAAGATTTGTGAAGATTTTGTTCACACAATATTTTTTAAAAGAAACAAATAAGAAATATAGCTCATTTCTGTAACTTGCAAACTCTCCATCCCTCTGATCTCACCTAATTTACAAAAGAAAAAATTACATTCCAAATCCAGAAATTTAAATCTGATGCACTACCAATCTACAGCGACACAAATGTCATTTTGAACTAAATGGCACAAAAATTCACATAAGATAGACTAGACTTTGTTGATAGAACTGACAACTTACATCGAGTTGGTATTCACAGAAAGTAGATCTGTCCGAAGTCAGGCATATAGCTTGAGAAATAGTTTCCAACCCTTCTCAATGAGAAGCCAAGAGGCCCTGAAGATGACGTAAATAATGAGAAAAGAGACTTGCTACTTTCGATGTTCAGTAAATGTTGTAATCTGTTTCCTGAGAAAATTTTTGTTTGCTTTGATACTGTTCTATATGATAACAAATAAGAATGCAACATCTTGAGTTCATTGACTCATGACCCGTTCAAAGGAATTTTGGCAAACCGAACGCTCCCTATTCGGTCACCCTTCTAGAATTTCAAACACTACCTCCAAGAGCATGACATACATTATTTATTTCGTGCGCGTTTTCCGTGTTTCATTTTACAGAGAATATGGTACTTTTATCTTGAACTTACCCCTCGGTTTCCCTGGGCCACAAATCTATGTCTTTGAATATTCCATCTCCCGGCGTAAGCTATTTTTGTGTCCCTTGGTATCACATCTCCATCTCCCCCATCTTTTCAATCAGTGATGCATTTTTTCCATTGTCCTCCCCAAATAAAAGAACAATTTTTGCAGCGGCGCAATTTTGCCATTTTCCATAACATTATATTAAACATGCATGCATGATTAATTATTTTGGTGTAGTTGGTGTGTGATTCGAGTGAAGATGATGCGTCAAGAATTAGGTAGCCGAAAACGGTTTACGAAGAACACGAGTTAGTCTACAAGTTATTCCCTCGTATACCAAATGTAAGTAACAAATGAGCGATAACAATTTTGCCGAATGGAAAATTTCTCGGTCGGTTATAGCTTCCGTTTTGGATCCAGGAGCGCTCTATTAAAGATTTTTACCAGCTGTGAAGGAATGGATGCAGTAACTTTGAATTACTGGCTTAGCAAGTTTGTGATGAAGGTGACCAAGAAGTTGTGGGAGTCGTTGGATGTGGCGTTCCTCAGGGATCAATCCTTTGACCGTTGCTCTTCTTGTCATATGTCAATGATATTCACAGATGCTCGAACAAATTTAGGATCTACCTATTTGTAATAAACCAAAGTCTATTTCTTGACCCTCCTAAGGAGAAAATGCTTGTCACGTTGGGGGACAGATCATTCTCTGCTGCCGCCTCGTACTTATGGAATGCTCTGCCAGCTGAATTACGTGATATTCCATCATTTTCCATTTTTAAATGTAAGCTGAAAACTTATTTATTTCGTGCAGCTTTCTCAAAGTACCCTGTCTGACAATTACTTTTATTAGTATTACTAATTAAGTTCCTTATTAAGATCCTTATTCCTAATTAAGAT